CCTCAAAATAGGACTTGTCAAAGTTAATATGTAATGCAGTTGCTTGCTAATGGAGTAGTGTGTACTGGTTGTTTCTAACTACGTGTGAGAATTCTGGCTTTTACTATTATTTTCGCTTAATCTGTATGTATTAACTCTAAGCCATTGTAATTATTTAATCTTACTCTAAAGTTATATTATCATTTAATATTATATTGAATGTTCCCAGTTAAACTTTTTCGTCTTTAGTTATTTCATTTTCATGCATCGAAAAATATTGTGTTTGTTTGTCATTTCCGGTCAGTATGGGCCAGCGTGCATATAAATGAATCATTGTGCTGCAGGTACGAGTAATTTGCAGGTGATTCACCTCTTTTCTGATATACGTTGGTCCTTGCTGAAAATAATTTTAGAACAACACTAAAAATTTTTAAGAAATAAGTGGGGAAAAAATTAATAGTCATTTTAGATGACTGACGTTACAATATTGCAAGTAAGAGCAAGTAAGGCCTTTGGACTGATGGATGGTTCCTCACGAATAACAATTCCATTTATTTGTTTGTAGAACAAATTTACTAGTTCTACTCTTCACTTTGACGTTTAAGAGTAACAAAAGACTTATTATATGCATTGACGACTTGTAATATGCATATAAATTTATGTTCGGGTTTATATGCATCAAAATATAGATGTAAGAATTTGTTTTTCTTCATCACAAGAAAATGATGACGTCTAACTCTTGTCTGGAAAATTTTAATAATTCAATGCTTTGTAACACAATGAATTCGTAAAAACATCCAATCGAACTAAAAAAAGCTCTCAAAGTAATGGTCAGGTGAAAGTTTATACATTCAGGTCTGTGTGATTAAGTAGCAAAGATGTGTAAACAGGTCAAGAGTATCTAAATTAAGTGAATCGCAGTCAGACTGTGTGTTACTACCAACTAGCACTCACACGTAATAAAGAGTATTAAATAAACTCAAGGTAAAATAACATACATACAGTATTGAGACTATCAGAAATTTCTAAGCAATTACGTAACATTAAGTAACAGTGGACGGTGGGTGCTTGAGTATCCAAATATAAAATTATACTTCTATAAAAGGCAGGAAAAAATAGTTATGAATATAAATATACCTTATATAAAACAATATTGTATACAAAGGTGGTACAATTATCATTATAATGAGTAATATAGGGTCGTCGGTCACTGGGATTTCCAGCCTTGCGAAGAACACCTCCGCTCGTAACGAATGTCAGTCAATGACTGACTTGGTTTAATAGTGGCGATCTTTAGTTAACAAAGTCTTTTAGTCGACATATTGCTTTCAGAAATGGTAGTAAAAATGTATTCGTTGGCAAGGTAGCGTAAACTTTGATGGCCCTTAAAAGAACTGATGAGATTGATGAATAAGTAGGGAACGTAATTACTTATAATGCCCCTGAAAAGGGCCAGTAGTAAAATTTCCAGTAATTCTTTATCAATATTTTCGATGATAGAGAGCCAGCTGCGGGTTACTTGACTCTTATCCTTAGAGTCTCTGTACGGAGATCATACAGTAGGCAAGTACGCTGCTGATCGAAGAATATCTCATCTTTAAGTCGTTTCTCGGATAACCAACCGCTCATCATTAGTCAGGAAAGTTGGCCTAGAGAAAACCTTCTCTGTGAGTATTCCGTTGAAACGACCACTGAAAAAGAAGCCATTGGGGCTGTCCATGCCCCTCAGGGCTACCTTCCCTGGCTTACGTTGGTTGTATAAATTCTCTGACGGCACCAGGCCGATTGGTGGAACAACTCTAAAGTGTTGGAGCAGGTTGTGCTCTGGCTAGACACGTCTCTTGGAATTCCGTGGGATACGTAATCAGTGTAAATTATTAGAATAAAGTTCTTTATGCCTCTTTATCATGCATAAATATAGTACTCACGAAGTTTAATTATCGTGAGTACTGAACTCAATTTTCTTATCTTTTTTTTATTTGTTTTCCAAGTTCTTGTTTTAGTAAACTACATGAATGCAGTACTCATTTTTATACAGCTTCGTTCTTCCTATGGGTCTGGGGACCCTCTTGTTACCTGAAAAATTGTGTGTTTTTAGACTTATCTCATGTTTGAAGAACTCTGTTCTTACCGTAGGTCCCATGACCCATTTATACCCCCTGGTTGTTTTTTTTTTTTTTTTTTGGTGGCACTCGTCAATCGTGAAGGATCAGGGTGAAAGTAGACCTAGGTCACTCGCCTATTGGAGAAGAGTGTCGTTGGCAACCGGAATACCCAGTTGCACGACCATCACCTATACATTTTTAATGAAGATCAATGAACTGATAGTAGGCGACTGCAGAAATTTTTGAGACGCTCCGGCGTAATGTAACCTCACTTATTTAATTATCTTGCAGGTAGCCTCAATTTTACGCCGATGCCAACTAGTATATCGTACTGAACTAAAGTGAAAAGCTGGCGTATTTTTACAAAACTTTTAGGTTATTAACTGCTATTGTTGTTTAATTTTTTAAAATAAAAACTAAACTAAGACCGTCTAAGAAGTGTCAAGAATCGGTATGCGAAATTTCAACAAAATTGGTTCAGTAGTTTTCGTGGTTAGCGATTAAAACGGTTTTAGCGACTTTACTTTATATATTAGTAAGATTTCAATTTTTGATGTACGGTCAATTTTAATTTGCTCTTAAATGAATATTTTTCTATAGTTTACATGTAATCATACGAATTAGTTAAAAGCTAATCATAATACATTAGGCCAAGTTGATGAAAATAATTTTTTTGATCTAAGAAACTTAGATATAAACGATGATTCCACGAAAGTTTTAACTCTGTAATATTTTTTTATGAAGAAATTAGATATGACCTTAAATATTTATTTATTGATGTGTGAGGAGCATTAGATGATCCATAAAATTCTATGAGGTCTTAAACGAGGATAACAAATTTTTATTTGATTTAATCGCAGCAGCCATTGATGTTTATTTAAAAATATTTGTGATATTTACCACTGCAAATTATAAAATTAGCTTACCATTACTTAATGTTTTGCATACCATATACGTATAAATCTAATATAGGTGTATCAAAATTCGTCGCTAGCTTATGATTTTAATGTCAAGCAAATTGATAATTTTTTTTTCTAAATATTGAAGTCAAATAAATATCATTTATGAAGCTAATGTTGAAAAAAAAAAATTTTTTACATTGTCACTGTATAATTTTAAAATAATTCTTTGGCGTATCGTTCAAGAAATTGTTACAAGAGTTGGTGAGTTAATATCTGAGGTATTAGTACCATATTTAAAAGTCATATTATCTAAAATGCTCAGCCTTTGTATAATAATGAAAAAGGTATAATAATGAAAAAGATAGTCAAATGATTTGTAATCTATTAAAAGAAACACAAAACCCTTAAAAAAAATTGTTCACGGAACACTAACGATTTCTGATTTAAAAAAAAAATGTATTTTTAAATACTCTGAGGTATACAAAATAGCGCAAGGTATAGTATTTTAAGTAGGTATGGTTATAAATGTTAATGGTTTTGTCTTACTACCTCACCCAAAAGTTTGAGTTTCAGCGGCTGTGTATGAGGGCGAAATCCAATGTTCCTTCTTTATTGATGCAACATCTATATAGCGTAAAGGGCTTGGAAGACAAAATTCTCTGCTCCCTACTTCTGTTTGATTAAGAGAAAGACAGAAATAGTAGGCAGTAGAACGAAAGTGCGTAAATACTAAAAACTTACCAACGCTGCGTTAATTTATTTTTTTGAGCTGTAAGAAAACTTCGACATTATGCGCCCAACTCGGATATGACAGTAAATTTGTCGTAAAATGCATGTAATCTCTTTAAGTAATATACAACAAAGTTAATTTCTAACTATAATCTGAATATAGAAACAATAGTTTAATGATTGTCAGAAAATCTTATAAAAATCAATCATGTGACCGTTGTGGCAACTGATGCCCAGAAGTTCAATCAATAATCATATAGGCGTTTACTCGTACATGCTTAAATACTGTTAATATGCAAAAATATGTATGCAATGATAAAAATTATAAGATGTCATTCGATACCCAATAAAATTGAAATAATTTCTAAGAAAATTAGGTGGTTGTGACCAACTTCTTCCACTTTTAGGGTCTGTTAACATCCGCTAACCAACAACCGTCGGTTCGCTCAGATCGTAAATATTAGCAAATGATAAAGACCCTTCACTTATGTCCTAAACATAACCTGTTACCATACTTACCACTGTAGCTAAATGTTTTCTAATTTTTAATGAACTACAAATTTTCAGCCAAAGTAGTAAAAAAAACAGCATACTATATTTATGACGTCACTCCATAATACGCTCTAGCAGTTTGCCCCTCTTGGCTAGGCTTCACCTCAGGGGGCAGCTTCATCGCAGGAGCGGTTCATCAAGTCATGTCACTTGTAATGTAATGTACTATTTAAAAACAATTTTGTTCATGTATGTTTCACAGCAACGCGTTACTGCAGAATACGCTGGGCAACTGACCCACAATGTCCAAACATGATTTAGAAAAACGGAAAGCTTTTAAAAATTCAACGAAGTTATAATATTAATGTTTTTAAAAAGCTTGTCTAGTATGGTCGTCAAGAAGAGAAGTAAGTTCAATCAACTGACAGCTTTTCAGATAATTAAAAATTCTTTACTTGACGTCATGCATGAATCATTCGAAGGGGTTCGGACTCGTCTTATGACAAAAGTATAAATGTCTTTAGTAGATACTTTATATTGTTATATCAAATTATTTTACTATAATGATGTTGAATCCTTAAAAAAACATCAGACTCTATTATAATAAATCGTAAAAAAAAACCGGAGAAAAATAAAATATAGAATAAAAAATTCAGTTCTAAAAATTGTATTCATAACTACAAAAAATAATTGGTGTACTAATGACACTAATATGTGTATTTATAATGGGTCGTTTTTAATGACTAAAAATATTGATCACCGAACACAATTGACTTTACGTACAATGTTTTAGATTATTTGACTTAAAATTTCGTTGTTTGCTGCATATTATTGGATTTCTCAGAAGAACCGGCTTGAACCAGCTGTAGATCATTAGTGCATGGCATGTGAAAAAAATAAAGATTAGAAACTGTTTGCTACTGGTACAAGCTCACATAAAAATATTCCACTATTTATTTTTATCAGAAATGTATTGCGACAATGTTAACAAAACGAAGTTGATCTTTGTACTTCTGAGTATACACTAGAAGAGTTAGTTAAACCAAAAAAAATACTGGTATTTAAAATTTTGCACCTATCATCTTTTTTGTAAGTACAAACAAATCTGTTATTATTTTTGAATAAAAATATTCTTAGAGCACTATTGTTATCACAAACGTAGAAGAAAAAAGTCTAAAATTTAGTAAAATTCTTCAAATTTTCACATATCCTAGTAAACTATACTTTGTTGTATATATTGTCAAAGTAGTTACATTTCATTGCCATTGATAATTCTACAAGGTTTATTTATTCAATGAACGATCAGAGACTTTTTATTATGAGGTTGTACATTTAATTGGTCTATTTTTACTTGTTTAATAATACAGACTTCTATTATGTTGTAACTTCGTACAATATATAGTTTATCAATATTGCAAAGCGAATTTTTCAGCCGATAAATCGCCACCCAGATCCTGTTATATGAATTCACTTACGTACATCCCTTACTTAATCTTACTCATAAGATTTCCCTTCTCTAGGAGATCTACCACAGGTGTTCAGCCCATGAACGCCAGACACTTCTAAATTAAAATTAGAAAAGCATAAAAGATAGTATTGATGACAAATAAACACGATTACTTAATAACGTTCAGAGCGCGCTCACACTCTTTATTCGCTCCTTACCACACTCTCAATAAATATTTACACTTTCTCTCTCTTTTCACTACACATGTGCTTATAGGTGTATATATACGAGGCATTCTCTGTCAACTCAGCCACCCCCGCCTGTCCAAAATTGGGTACGATTTTTTCGGGCATCTTTGGGTTCAAATTAAAGCTTATTACATCTAGTTTTAAATGCTGAGTGGCGTTTGTCGAATTTCGAAAATGGCGGACCACTATGACGCAAACAAGTCAACCTCCTACCGATGAAAAAACAGTTATTTCAACCTAACACATGCATCACTATTTAGAAAATTGTGCAAAAATTTTTTTCTTATGTATTTTATAACGCTGATGACGAATTCACTCTTCTCATTTATTGAAAACCAAATGTGTCGTTCCTAACCTCAAAAAACCTATTAAAAAGGAATTTTCAGCGTTCAACAATCCACCAACTCATAATAAAGAAAATGTAAAATCTTATTGGTATGTATTTTGAATAATTCAATATAGAAGTAACCATTCCTTTGATCATAAGTACTAATTTTTAAACCTAACCTCAAAAAACCTATTAAAATCAAATATTTTATGGCAAACTATCGACCAAGTACTAATAAAAAAAAAGAAAAGCTTTTTTGTACTTACTATTATTGATTTGATGCCAAATCACCCTTTTTTCAGTTATAACGACTGTTTGCTGCACCTAACCTCAAAAGACCTTTTAAAAAAGCAGTTGCATTCGATTACAGTCCTAACTAACATGAATTGGAAAAAAAACTCCCATGAGTGTATTTTTAATTCTAGTCTTTTCTTAATTTCGACTTTACATTCTGTACGTCGTCCCTAACCTCAATAACCTTTGGGAAAATTAGTTTTTTGATCTCCATTGTTTTTAGAAATCCTCATCATTATCATTGAAAAACATTTGAGTGTATCATTATCAACGCAACATACAGTTAATCTGTTCCTTAGTCAGAAATACTGTGAGTTTCCCTAACCAGTGGAAAATAGGTCTTTGCAAAAAAATAACCACAATTTTTGGGAAATAATGTAGGTAACTTGTTTTTATTTTTTCAATTACCTGATATACAGTCTATTATTTTTCTAACTTTTCTTTTAGGTTTTGTTTACAAGGACAAAAACTTTTGGTGAATGCAAAGGTATGCACATAAACATTTGCATTTTTAGGGATTTTACTTTGTGACCAGCATGTATTACAAAAATGTTAGATCATCTGTTCAGATGGCTAGAGAACTGGGCTGTTGACTTAGTTAAGTAATATTAATACTACTTTAATGGTTACTTTACAAAAAAAGTGAGATTTATTAAATATAAATAATATATCGCTTATGGATATGAGTTCGAGGTCTCAGAATAAAACAAAAAAATTTTATATTTCGCTTGCTTATTCGCAGTAAAATTCATTGTATATCACGATTTCTATTTCTGATCCAAACGTCTCAGTGTTTTTTGCACATCTATAAGTCAGCTTAAGCGAAGCGGTACTAGTGATGGAGAATCAAATTTTAAATGACTTTATAAGTTTTNCCCATAATAAAAGATATAAAGTTATTTCATTTCATTAGAAAGAGATGGCTAGAGAACTGGGCTCTTGATTTAGTTAAGTAACATTAATACTACTATTATGGTTACTATAAAAAAAAGTGAGATTAATTAAATATAAATAATATATCGCTTATGGATATGAGTACAAAGTCTCAGAATAAAACAAAAAAATTTTATATTTCGCTTGCTTCTTCGCAGTAAAATTCATTGTATATCCCGATTTCTATTTCTGATCCAAACGTCTCAGTGTTTTTTGCACATCTATAAGTCAGCTAAAGCGAAGCGGTACTAGTGATGTAGAATCAAATTTTAAATGACTTTATAAGTTTTCAGGTTTTAGACAGACTGTTCATTTTTTTAATTAAAAAAAATTTTCATGCTTAAAAGATTATTTGATGTTTAGTTTTTGTCTGTACATCGTATTATATTATAATGTAAAGAACTTATGTTATTTAACAAGAAATTTTATTTTATCACGAACTATGTACATAAACTGACATCACGCTAATAGAGTTAAATTCAGTAACGCTTTTCTTCAATAGTCTACACTTGACATACAGTCTGGCTTTATTTACGCCACTGTGGGTTTTATGTACATTGTTTCTTACGTTGTGTTAATATTTTCCATATTTTTTACACATAGTATACTATAACCATAGTACTTAAATAGCAGAGGATCGCAAAACCCTATTTTTTGTAGTACTACTGTAACGTTATTTTTATAAACGCCTGTATCAGAAAAATTAGCACTTGTTTTTAGCACCTGCTCATTGTAAGTTGCTTTATTGTTTAATACATTGATGTTTAATGATATGTTTTATTAATTTCAATTGAAATCAATTAAGGAAGAGGGACTTATAAGTAAATAATATGGAATAGAAATTTCATACCCAAAACTTAATTGTTTTATGGGCAGCTTACTCACTTGGCTGCTATGATGACTCGTGCGTCCTGAAATTTATATAAGTTGGTTCCTTTATGTGCACTTGTAATATCATAACTAATGCAGCACTATTTCCCTATACGACTTACGTTTATCAGTATATGGATATTATGTAGGAAATTTTTTGAGTCACTGTGCTCATGTACTTTAGTAATATATGATTGATATTGAACTTATCGTTTACTCTTCTTTTCTTTATAGTAGCCCTTAATAGTTCTTGCAAACGTTTGTTCACTGAAATGACGACCCAATCTGCTAGTCATTTAGACAGATGTTGTAATCCCTTTCAATTGGATGATGGGCATAAAGGACAGTCCTTGAGAACGTTGTCGAAAGAATTGAAGAGGAAGTTCCCAAATTTAAATGAGAAGTTGAGAATTTGTCACAAATGCAGAAAATATTCTAGTACTGTAGTGAATTTCAACAATAAAAGTTCATTAGATAATAGCAATGAAAGTTTTTTAGAATCCAATGATGACGGTATATCATCTGTTTCTGACAATAATTATCAACCTCACAATAACTTTTCAAATAATGCTCGATCACAAAGAGAAATGGAACTTGAAGCGATGCTAAGCAGTATTAAGGAAAAATTTTTATGTTTACCTGATGACCATCTAGACAAACTGCGAATTCTCACTGTTGCACCAGTATCTTGGAGTGAACGCAAAATAGCTGCTGAATTTCAATGGAGCAGGTACCTTGCGAAGAAGGCAAAAGACCTTCAGGCTTAAAATGGTGTTTTTAGTACTTACGCAACGAAAGTTCGTAAAAAATTACCACAAGAAACTGTATCTCTAGTCGTTAATTTTTACAAAAGCGATGGCAACAGTAGAGTTATGTCAGGCGTTAAGGATGTAGTATCTATTAAAGAAGGTTATAATCGTGTATTAGTACAAAAGCGTCTTTTACTTTCAGACCTAAAAGATTTGTATTTTCAATATAAAACTGAGAACATAAAGAACGCTGTTGGATTCAGTACATTTGCTAAGCTAAGACCCAAGAATTGTATACTAGCCGAAGCTAGTGGTACGCATTGTGTTTGTATATGTACGATCCATCAAAATTGCTAATTGATGTTAGATGCTACAAATATTCAGAAATTGACAAAAGATTTTGATAAACTCATATCAAACTATAAGGATTGCTTAGAACAAATGGTTTGTCATGGAAATAGTTTCCTGTCACTTAGGAGAATGCGCAAAGTGCCCTGATATTAAAGATTTGCTACAAACCCTATTGCAATGTTTTGAAAGTTGGAATATCACAGAAATTCAAATCAGCTCGTGGACCACAACAGACAGATGTACTTTGCAGACAGTGGTTCTTCTGGCTGAAGAATTTCTTTATGAGCTGCGTCAGAAGTTGTTATTATTAAAACCTCATGCGTACATCGTTCAACAGCAAAAACTATATCTCGAACATCGAAAAAAAAATTTGTGTTCTAATGAGGTTTTAATTCATATGGATTTCTCTGAGAATTATAAAAACGTCATTCAAGATGCCGCTCAAGCGTTCCACTTTAACAACGACCAATGCTCTGTCTTTTCTATTGTTTATTACTTTAAAACGGATACTGATGTGGAGCATAAGAGCCTGATAGTTTTATCAGACAGTACCAAGCACGATACTGCAGCTGTATACACAGTTCAAGAACTTCTCTTACCGCATATAAGAAGAGCAGTTCCATCTGTTAAAAAAGTTATCTATGTAACA